CGAGAGGACTAATAAAAGAAAAATAGGTTATCTTCATGATAACTCGAGCAATTTGCAGAATGATAAAAAAGAATAGATTAACTCAATTTATTCCAAAATGTTTACAAGTTATTTTAGAAAAAGGGAGCAATGAAAAAGGGATTAACAATAAATCACAATATAACTATAAAATGGAATAATAGTGCAATTTAATTTATATATAAATATTAAAAAAGTTCCAAAAAAGAATGAGATGACCTCCTCCATGCTAGAGTTTAGATCTAATCTTAAGATAAGGTAACCAATGACAACGTACACTTTAGAGCCGCTACGACTTTCTAATCTTCTATTACCTGCGATAATTTTAAAGATAGAAAGTTTACGATTTAACTAATAAAACAATAAGTATGTATTCTTTATTTACAAGTTAAGTTTAATTATGAACAAATGTGTCGATTACTTTTTAGACTTGTTCTTTTCGTTTTTGTTAAAATTAGAAGATAGTTGTTGTTTTATTGGCATTTATATTATACCATAAAGCTAATTGAATTTGTATTATCAGTGTTCTGAAATGTATGTTTTCATTGTTTTTGTTCACAGTTTTATTTTTAGTTTCAAAAGATATTCAGCATTTTCAGTTAACTAATTTTAGCACTAATTTAAGCACTAGCACTTAAACTATTATCATTACAACCATTTAAATGGATAAATTTTTATATTCTAATACGTAAGCATTTTTTGGCTGTTTATAATTATATTTCTTGCCCAGGTTGATTAAGTATTTTGCTTATGCTTTATATTCCAAATTCAGCATATGAAAATATTTACTTAATGCAATAATGTAATATAAAAAATGATGGTATTTGACACCGATGAACGTTTAAACCTCTTGGCCAATAGGAAAGTTAAATTCCAAAACAGGGCCAATCATTGTTAACGTTTATCGTATAATAAAACCTAGGCAAAGGAAGCACTCGTAAAGCGTTTCTAGAGTATGTTGTTACGAGCCATAAATAGACTACTTATATTTATCCGTTATTATTATTATTGTTACTTATTTGACCAGATATTTTCTAACAATAAGAAATTTGCGTACATATGTATTTTTGAGGAAAAGTGGCGGGGCCCTATGCGTCCTCTTTAACATATCTTCATTTTGTGTACCATACCTCCTGGTAAAAACATTATTGTCGATGTTGATGGGAAAATGTTCACGAAAAACCCATTTACCTTTACTTTAACAAATCCTTTGCATTAACAAAATCATTACAGTATTGTTCAGAAACTGGAAGAACTAATTATTAATTTTATGAAGAGTAACAGTTATAACAAATGTCAGCAAAAAAAAAGTATTAATTTAGTAAGTTGGTCTAATATAGTATATACAGTGAAATATTTAATTTAAAATAAATAAATAAATAAGTTAGTTTAAATAATTAAATAAATAAGTTAGTTTAACAGATTAGTAACAAATTGACAATTTAACAATTTAACAGTAATAAATTAACAAATCAGTAGGTTAGTGGTTAAATATTTTTATAAGTTATTAAGTAACAGATAGTTAAATAAGTGAGAAGGTTGAGATTCAGGAGGATAAAATATGTTTTATACTCCTGTGCTTTCAAGATCTTAGACAATCATATGTGCCGATTGAAGCACATATGGAGTTTTCGCTGAAGACTTTTGGAGAAAAAAATTTTTGGGTCCTGTATATTAACTCCTCCCTAATCTATGGCATTTCAACTAAAGCATGCAAGTCTGAGAGCCTTGTGTAACGTGGGGACGAGGTGGCTAGTCTTGAAAATTTGTTTTGTATTATTTGTAACCTCTTAATGTTAGTCATGCTTGTGTAGCTCCAAGCAGGGCAAGCGTACAATAGAATTGGTTTTACTATCACTTTGTAAATTGCTAACTTATTTGCTTCGCTCAAAGATGATTTTCGACTTAAAAGGGGGAAAAGAGTTTTAATCATTATTTTTCCTCTCTTTATCAACGAGTTAATATGTTCACTGAAATTCAGTTTGTGGTCCAGAGTCACCCCTAGGTATTTTACCTGTGGGGTCCACGGTATGTTTACCGCGTCAAGCATGATTTGTTTATCAAGAGTGGGTCGCCGCCTAGTAAAAAATATCGATTCCGTTTTTACAGTGTTTAAAATTAACTTCCATCTGTGGCAGAAGCGTACTATTTTTTGTAAAGCTAAGTTAAAATTGTTTGCTATGGCAGTCTGTCTCCAGGAGGAACAATATATTAGGATGTCGTCAGCGTAAAGGGCCAACTTGCAGTTTAACCTATCTAGTGTAGGGAGGGCATTTAAGAATATAGAAAAAAGTTTTGGCTCTAGGATAGACCCTTGAGGGACCCCAGAAACAACTTTGAAAGAAGAAGACGTTGCGTTGTTAAGAACAACGCGAAAGGATCTTTCTCTTAGATAGGACATTATGATCCTAACAACATATGTTGGGAACTTAGAACAGCCTGTATACTGCGAACTTATACAGGGTGTCTTTTTAAATGGCTCGACTTAATTTCTCTTGAACCAATGACGCTAGCAAAAAAACAAAAAATACTGTTTAATATTTTTTAGTCTAGATTCAAATTTTTGCCTTTTTTTGGAGAAAAATTATACAGGGTACCTCAGGCATAGTTCAACATCAAAATTTCAAAAAAGACTATACAACCTGACACATCATTTTAACGGTTTTTTTCGGCTGAAAACAATGGTACAATTGGATTTTAAATTGGTCAAAAAATGACAAAGTTATGGCAAAAAGATTGAAACCTACTAAAACTCTAATTTCGATCACTTCTATAAAATTTAAGATATCGAGCCCGAACCAACGCGAAAAATTCTTAAAAATAACCTACTTTTTAGAACCGAAATAACAATGAGAGGTCTATCATTTAAAAATAGTTACGTATGTAGATTTACGTCAAAAAAGAATGAACCAAAAAGTGATTTCAAGAACCGATGAAACAACTGAAAACTAGACATAATAACAAAAATGTTAAAAAATTCAAAATCAGATCAAAATTAAGGAAGTTATGGGGTGGATTCCATGGACCACTTTGTATATACAAGGTGTCCTTTTTAAATGGACCGTCTGAATTTCTCTTGAACCAATGACTCTATAAAAAAAAAATCGTCTTTAATATTTTTTTAGTCTAGTTTAAAATTTTTACCTTTTTTTAAAGAAAAATTATACAGGGTACATCAGGCGCAGTTCAACTTCAAAATTCCAAATACGATTCTACACATCCGGACACATCGATTTAAAGGATTTCTTACTCTGATAACAATGGTGCAATCGGATTTTAAATTGGTCAAAAATGACAAAGTTATGGCAAAATGTTTGGAAACAGACATTCGGTTTGCTATTTATTAATCACATTTCATGTTAGAACTTCCTGCCTTGCGTAATGATGAAAAAATTTGCTCTTTTACTCTTTACCGGTGCTCAGAGCAGTACAGTCAGGGGAGATGGATTGACAAGCATTTTCTATGCTTTGCCGCAGTTCTCCAACTGAGGTTGCTTGGTTATGATTGGCGTAGACACTGTTTTTTAAATGGCTCTACAGAAAATAGTCAAGTAGTATTAAAACGGGAGACTGAGCAGGCCAATAGATCTGGTGTGATGTAGCTTTTCTATTACATTTTCTTTATGGTGCCAACGTTTCGATCTTTATTGAGCCCTGATGATGATCTCAATAAAGTTCGAAACGTTGGCACGATAAAGAAAATATTTTTCTGAAGCCTACGTCAGACCAGACCGTATCTCACGATTTCTGAATAATTATCGATTAACGGTCACTAATCACCACACGATTCAAATAACATTTCACCTGCAAATAATTGTGTGAGGGGCATCCATCTAGCTGGAGGATCACTTTTTGTCTTTGTTACAGAGGAACATCATCTAATATTGTTGGTCAAACCTCTCTCAAAAATTTGAGGAACTGAGCACTATTTACATTATTTTCGTGGAAATAAGGCCCAGTTAATTTATTTCCGAGAAATCAACACCAAACATTGATACTGTGAACCACCTGATGATGACAAGAGGACGAAATTCTAGGATTTTCCTCTGCCCACGTTCGAAAATTCCATCGCCTTGATATGCCATTATAGGTGAACTTGGATTCATCAGTTCATAAAATGTATGGAAAAAATTTTCTTCAGCCTCCCAAATCGATTGGACCACATCCCCAATCCTGCCAAATATATTTTAGACTAAAAAATATTAAACACATTTTTTTTATAGTGTCATTGGTTCAATCTAAAAAGGATTATCTAAAAAGGACACCCTGTATATGAAATATAATTATTTAAATCGCATAATCCTCAACTGCTGATAAAGTTTAACCAAATCCGTACTAGTATCAATTTTTTTTGTGTATCAATATTTAAACATTTATCCTTGAAAAGTACGATCACGATGATTTAAATAATTTCAAAGAAAGAAAATATTTTGCGCGTTCATAATTATTAAATTACTCTTTGTAGATGTGTGTGTCATTTATAATTAGACATATACCTTAAAATATTTTTTTCATCTTGAAATTATGTTGTTGTTTTGTTTTCTTTTTAGTTATACATTTACATTTATTTATATTATGTATAAAATGTATAATGTATTTTTATATGTAAAGAAAGCTAATTAACGGAAAGAAAAGATGGGTGGTAACTTTGTGCATAAGACTGGTTGTTTACTGATGTCCTTAGTCATCTCTACCATGATTATAAGTCACAAAGTGAAAAGAGGAGTTTTTTCATGCTCCATTATCCCTGCTCTCAACAGTTCAACTAGCAAGGACTTAATCGGAAAGACTTTTCCCCGCCTATCTTCACTTTCTCCTGATATTGATTCTGGATAATGTATGTATTTTGGGCTTACTTACGGCGGTCCAATTTTTCAAATGATGTCGGCTTAGACAGGTAGGAAAATCGGTGTGTGATTTTTTAAAATGTTTTTTAGTTCTTTTTATATCGATGTACTTGTAGGTAAAATAAAATAAAACAGTTATTTTATGAAAAGACTGTGATTTATTACACTCTTAGAGTTTACTGATAGCACTCTCAAACGAGAATGATTCTAGAGAATATAAAAATAAAATTTTAAACTTTCTTAAAACACATAGTGAAATATTTTAAATATTTATAATTTTACAAAAGCAATGACTTAGTTAATAAATTAAATACGTGATAACTGCTCCTACCAGGGTTTGAGGGTTAATTTTTCTCCGTGTCTTCGTTGGTAGTCTCCTCTTTCGTTTCTGAAAATAACAAGAAAACTGTTTGAAAAATATTATTTGTAATTTGTATCTTTCATATTGAATTGTTTCATCAGTATTCTAGCCGACTCTTTTTCATGGATTATTATTGTAATATAATTGAGATAAATAATTGTGTTTCCTCTAATCCTCTTGGGGGAAAGTGAGGACGGGTTTAATGACTATAATTAGGAAGTTACGCATGGCTCGATCTACGTTTTCTGTACTTGATGTAAATGTACACTGAGCCGAAGAAGAATTGAAATTACAAAATTATTTACCTGAGCTGTCTTCTTTCCTTTCGTTTGTCGGCAGAGGAAGGACAGAGGGCTCTAGCTCGGACGCGGAAACAGAAGCGTCGTAAGTCGTCTGGTAGGAAGAAGGTCCAGTGTATTTGTATTGCGGCTGGTACTGGTCCGAGACGCCTTGGCTCGGTGCATAAGCCGCAGGTGGATAAGGTCCCGATGCTGCTGCTGGGTAGGGTGCAGGCTCGTTGCTAGGTGGCGCGGGATAAGATGCTGGAGGGTACGGCGCTGACGGGGTAAATTTCTGCTCCGGAGCCGGGTGTGGCAAACTGTATTCGAGTACCGGTTCCTTTTCTGCTGGAGTGTACACCGGGGAATAATTCTGCTGGTGTGGCGCACTGTATGTCGCGACAGGGGTAGCGTAATGCGTTGTAACGTGTTCAACGGGGAAAGCTGGTTTCGGTGCTCTTATGCTGACGTACGTTCCGGTAGAGTATGGGAGTTTATAATGACCGGAAAGGCTAATTTTCGGCAATTTAGGAATAGCGGGGACGAACTTCAGAGCCGGTAAGCTGGGGAGAGATGGCTCTGGGATGTGAACGACCGCTCCTTTGCCAAATCCGCCGAGGAAAGGTATTTTACTGAAAAAGCTGTGCTTAGCAGGCACACTTTTCAAGACTGTGGTCTCAACGGGATAAACTGTTTCTTGAAGTCCTACACCATCATCTACATCTTCTACCTCTTCTACACCTACGAGGCCTTTCAACAAAGCGCTGACACCACCTTTTTTAAAAGCTAATTTTTTAGAATCCACTAATTTTGAAAGAGCGAGAAGACTTAGGAGGTCCTTTTTCTTCCATTTCTTCTTAAGGCCGACACCAGGAACCTTCGACACCTGTAAAATCAATTTTTAAATTATATTTGTACAATATTTTCAAACTTCTTCCGTTATACCTTTTCTTCGGCTTCTGGATGGGTCGAGCCAAGTCCAAAGTATGACAGGATGTTTCCAGAATCGTCGTTCGCTCTCGGAAGGAATTCGGACAGGTTTTCGATGTTCAGATGCTCAGGCTCATCGTGATAATGGTCGGCGGTATAGTCGGAAACCTGAACGGCTTTCGGCTGTGCGCTGAGATGTTCAACAGGTACTACGTACTCTACTGGGCTACTCTCCAAATGTGCGTCTACCGGTTTCAGAGCGATTCCAGAGTACTTGTGTACCTTCCAGACTGGGTACTTGGTCACTGGGGAGGGCTTCTTCAGGGAGAACCAGCCGATAGATCTCTTCTCCCTCGCGAAGCAGACACCGAATATGGCCGCAATGATTATAAACCTCTAACATAGTACAATTACATCGTAAGACACATCGCCGATTAATTATTTACAATACTTTGTGTATATTAAATGTTCTTGGCTTTATGAGCAAATCTTTCTAAAACAGCTTGGAAAAGGAGTTGTATTTCTCTGTAAATTGCTTTTGAAATTTTTCATATTGCGAGTCAAATTAACTTAATTAAAGAAAATTATTTGTTTCTAGGTGGTGTGGTGGACCAAGACTTTGCAGGCTAAGTGAACAAACAGTTAAGTGGCACACAAAGACAAGCCTTCTTTCAGTGTCACTGGAGTCATGAGTATAACACCAATTGCGGCCTTGGAGGTGTTAATATACCTTTCACCACTCCATATTTTAATCCAAGGAGAAGCCAGAGCAGTGGGTCACAGGTTCATAAATTGACAACCATCTGTAATGATAGGCCACGTCAACAAAGAATGGAAAGTGAGGGAGGAGATACAGGCATATGCCATACTAGGCATGCGAACCGTGCCACTACTCCAAAATATAAGTTCACCAACAAATACAAGTTCGTATACCAGAAAGGGAAGAGTGCGCCAAAGGAAAACCTATGAAGGCCAACTCAAACTGGCATACCGTTGGCTAAAAACGGATAAATGCAGAGGAGCTGTAGTCTTCGGGATGAATCGGAAGACCGAACTGACTTTAAACTTAGTCCCAATCTGAAATCACAGCAATTAAACACTTCTCTGACAGGCAGGCGGCACTTAAGGCCTTAGCGAGGTAAAGGCAAAAAGCGTATGGAACCCCTGGCAGAAGTCATGACGCCAAAGACCTGAACCTGGGATGGGTCCCTCGGCATTCGGAGGAAATGAAAAAGGACTTACTGAAGAGTAACCTCAACAAAACCAGGATTCTGGTCGGACTTCTGACAGGGCACTACCTCCTAAAAAGGCACATGCACCGGATAGGATTACAGACAAAATAAACACTGTCCACATAATGCCATGACGAAGAGGAGGCCGCAGAACACATTTTATGTTTTTGTGAACGTCCATGCAGGTACTGATTCTTGCAACTAGGAGAGGAAAAACCGCAAACAAGATCCTACAATGGAGCCGCTGGTAAGGTTATGGAGGTGGATTACAACCTAAAGCTGGATAGTGAGTTATAAAAAACAGAGGCGCAATATAGATTTACTCAGATCGAAGAGGAGAAGACCTTGTGGCCGCCTCTTTTTATGTTTCTATTTTAATTTTTGGCCAGAAGACATATATACTTATTATCATGTACGTACACAAGTTTCAAAAATCCAATTAGGCCAATGTCTTTGTTGTTGTTGTTTTTAATTAAAAATATATGTTATGGTATTTGCCCCATGGGAAAAACAATCCTCAATATGTAACTAACCGCGGCGTGTTCCGAGTCATAGATCACAAACTAGGAACGAAAGTGTCGGCATTCCGAAACGTCTTCGGGCCGATTACTGACCGGCAGTGAAACCGAAAACTTTCATGGGTCCTCCCAGACACAAAGGGTGGCGAAGAGGTCCGCTGGCCGCCTTTGTCTTCACCCTGACCTTACTTTCACTCTCGTGCCTTTATCACAATATAATCTCCGGCCTTCGGACACTGAATCAAGATGACAAATCAACTTTGGTACCTTCATAAGTCCCAGTAAGTAGTTCTCTCTCTCTCTCTTCCACCAGAACGATGTTTATAAACACATCTCGTCTCGAAACTAATGTAAAGATAACATGAAATGGATAACGAGAATACATTAATTAAAAGATTAAATTACAAGACAATATTTTGGTACTGGAATACTAAGTAGGGAGGAAACATTTCCTATTCAAAACGCGTGCAGATATTACAGATTAGAAAAAGGGAGAACTGCTATGTTAAACTTAATATAAATTATATATAAAAAGACCTAAAGTAAGAGAACACAGATGCAGAATTATATTTATCTTATTCTTATTATATTATATTCTTATATTATTCTTATTACGTATTATAAGTTTTTTTTTTGTTTTTTCGAGGATTCGCAAGAGGTCATATCAACACTCAGGGCTGCTGGATTCGAACCCGGGACCTTTACCTTACAGTGATGAGCGCCGTGTCAACGCCTGAACCGTTGCCGCCACCGACGCCCCCATTATAAGCTATTGTATATATTATTGTTACTATTACAATTAAATTTATTATATTTTACTGTGGTTTCTTAGTAACCATTTACACTTTAAAAAAGAAGAACAATGGTGTGTACCCTTCAGTAGAAAATTTAGATAAAAAGGTTACCAGAAAAGAGTGAAATATTCTAAAATTTAATGACAAAAGAATAGTTTTTTAAGTGGTTTAAGCATTAAATATGTGAAGTGTCTTGAAATAGCATCTTCATACTTTATAATTAAAACAAAAATGTGTTAATTGGCAGGAATTTAATAGACAACTTTTTTAATCAAATTGAGTGCAAAATTCTAAAATTTAAGGAGAGTATCGTACTTTTCATATTAGTCTAAACCATTTTTTTATATAATAACTGTTTTTTTTCTTATTTCACGTTCGCTTTATACACTAAAAATTCAAAGCAAAAATTAATATGACTATAGCAAAGAGTATTGCATTATAAAATTATAAAATGGAAAATTTAAAGTCTAATGCTTCATTTTAAAATGAGAATATGTATAACCTAAAAAATATATATAGAAACTTGAAGCAGAACGTAATACCCTAAATACGTAACCATACTTTTAAAGTAAAGAGTAAAGTCTATAACAATATTTTTAAAAACGTGGAGCTTATCTCAAAGGATAAGCTAATCCCCTACCGCAGGCTCGGGCTTTGTTATAATTTATTTGGATCAGGTCCCGATTTTTGTCTTTTAATTTATCCGTTTAATTTAATTGAGTTTGTGGCACAAATTTTGTTTCTTATTTTTATTTTACACTCGCAAGGAAACGAGTTTGCATCGTGTGAAGGGGATTCACCCTAACACGTTATAAGTCCTAAAATACTGGAGGGCTTAACGTCCAAATACCCGTTGGGTGTCGCGGACGAGTGGTCAAACCTCTTTAAAATAGATTTCTCTATAAATTTAAAATTTCATGGACTATGGTAAATTGTGTCCAAGATGTAGGTTAAAGTTGGTGGCGTATACTAGCTGTTGTCCTTCGCGCCAACTTCAGAGAGAAACTCAACCCAATAAACATGCTACAAGTTCATCACCTTCAGAGCTCAAATAGGCTGTGTGATTACTGCAAAGATGTTTACAAAGTATTGTAATTTGAACAACTATTCTCTTTCCTGAACAGAGACTTGACGTCCAACTACCTGTTGGTTATCTCCGATGAGAGGTCAAACCTTTACACACTACTTTTTTATCAAATCATTAACAATTAAAATTCCTTGGGCTGGGAAAAATTGTGACCAAAATTATTGTAATTGACTGATAGCCTTGTCCCTTTACTGTGTTCTATACTCTAGCTGGTTAATATTTCCCTCATACCATTTAAGCTTCACGCCATCTTCAGTAAGAAACTCAACTCAGTAAACATGCTTCAAGTTCATAACCTTGCGGGGCTCGAATAGAATCATAATATGTGGGTAAAATATTGTATTTTGGACAACTGTTTACTTTCCTGTCATACATAAGGGCTACGTCCAAGTACCCGCCCGTTGGGTGTCTTTGATGAGAGGTCATACCTCTGTAGAATACTTTTTTAAATCATTATCGATTAAAATGACCTGAGCAAAAGTTTGACCAAAATTAATGAAATTGGCCAAGCGAGTCAAAGTTTATGACGTTGATTGGTTTGCAAGCGGTGGACCCAGTTGAACTGATAGCACTAATCATTTTACTGAGTTTGTAAATTCTAGCTGGTTAATATTTCCCTCGTTCAAAGAAAAAACAAAATTAAAATCAAACTCGCTGTAATTCTATTTCTTAAAGTCCTAAACTGTCAGTATGTATCTACATTAATTTTAATGCATAAAATAACAAAAAAAAATCGGTACTTTTTGCGCTGAGCCAAATTTTAAAACTTTGCCGAAGCATATAATTGGATTATGTACGTATTATAAAAGTAAATTTTCTTTTAATGATAGTTTAACCGTGTTGAGACTATTCGGATAATCATCTCGGTGAATTTATAAATCGGTAAATTACATTCGATAGGATCCATGGAATTGTTACTAGTTATGTTATGTAGAACAAGGTAGTACTTTCTGTACAGATTAGGGGCACAAAAGAAATTTATAGCCCGAGTAGAAAATGAAGTTTAATCACGTTGTCTAACTCCGGGGAGCTGTATGTCTGATTTATTCCAGAGGCGAGTTCCTCCTGAAATAACTAAGGAAGCCGGCTATTTCGCAATTGGGATTCTAATAAAACAAAAACTCGAAAGCCCGACTCTCTTTCCGCAATAGATTCTTCACAAAAAGCCAAAAAGATCGCGATATCTCTAATCACGAAAATTTCTTTACGATCTGTAAATTTCACTGGGCACGACTGGGAAAAATTTAAATAAAAGCTATACCGATAAAGAATAAAAGGATAACAAATTGTTAAAATATTGTTTAAACGCGTACTTACCAACTTCATGTTGTAGGGTTGTAATGACTAGGTTGTGCTCGAGCCCTCGTATTTATACTCGGGGTGAGTTCTGGGGGTTGGCTAACGGTGCGATATTCTTGTAGGGCGACTTTCCTTAATTGTATCGCTCTCTAGCCAGAGGGCGAATACCTGACGCTGGTGGATCCGTCTTACGAGACGGTCAATGAAAACCGGATAAAGTACTCGGAGGAAGTACTCGTTGTTCTGAGGGAATCCGGGCCGAATTCGCCCTTTTGTACTAGCGGCTGGAAAACCCCGCACTGCCGGGGGTGAAATTTTGATTTTATCTCGTACCGATCGCGTAAACTGCCAAAGGAAGTGGAAATACAGGAAAATTCTCTTCTTGACACGTTTTAAAATATTTTTATTTACTTTCAATTAATTAATTTTTGTGTAAGGGATTGGTCGAAATGAAAAAGTTGACCTTCGGCTGCCGAAGGTCGTGGGTTCGAATCCCGCTCGTGACACTGACTTTTTCATTTCAACCAATACCTTACATAAAGATTAATTAGTTGAAAGAAGTTATTTGGTCAATCGACCACGAAATATAATGGATTTTTATTTACTTTACTATAATAGGGTAAATAGTGGTGTATTCGTAAACATGGGACAAAAACATAAACCGAAGAAAATAAGTCTCACTGTAACTGTAAAATTACTACTGTACTAAAAGAAAGATAAAATGGGCAAAGAGATAATTGTAATTCGATATCCAACTCGAAAATCAACATTCAACTATTTTATAGATATGTTAGTGAAAATCTACTTTCATTCTGTATTACAATAAAAAAATAATCATAGGTGCAAATAAAGCCACATATTGGATATATGTAACCTAAGGGGAACCCACCTCTTCATGTTGTCTGATCAGAAACGAGGTGAGTTACCCGGCAGATTTTAATATAATTTAAATATATTTTATAGGCATTTAACTGTAAAATTGACATGGTTTTGTAAAAAATATATAAACCTGTACATTTTAGAAACTCAAGACTGATGAGGGTTGACGGATCGAAATTGGTCTGTTAAATAAAACAAATAAAAAGGAAAGGGTGTCCTGTGACGTGTTCCTGGGGTCGATTCCAGGTGCTGCCATTAAAATTTTCTTCTCCATTGCACCAGATAATTTTTTTAAAAACCCACTTTTAATAGTAATGGCGAATAAACTAAAATTTAAACAATTACAACAAATCCACTTTCTTTCCTCTTAAATTTCTAACCCTGGAGGATTCTTAGTAATGTTTTTAGTTTATAACATACCATTCTAAAGAATTTTAATCTTTATACCCTAAAGTTATTTTTAAATAATAATCCCGCTTTGAATCCCGCTCGTGACAATAATTTTTCATCCCAACTAAAAACCTTAGATAAAAAGAGTAATTATTTGGAATGATTAGTTTGGTCAGTGATTATATGGAGATCGTAAGATGCGGTCTGGCGTGATGTAGGTTTTAGAAAAACATTTTCTTTATCGTGCTACGTTTCGACCTTTATTGAAATCATCTTCAGAGCTCAAAGTGTTTGTTTTCCGTGTAGATGTGTCATTCATCTGTGTCGTGGGGCACTCTCAACACAACAAACACTTTGAGCCCTGAAGATGATTTCAATAAAGGCCGAAACGTTAGCACGATAAAGAAAATGTTTTTCTAAAACCTACATCACACCAGACCGCATCTCACGATCTCCATATAATCATTAACTAACGGTCACTAAACATCCCACAATATGGTCAATTATGGCCATATGGATTAATTAAATAATAATGTCGAACTAGGGCAATTTTTTTCTGTCCGGTGAATCGGATGAGGTATTCCGACACTTAATTTTTTAACATTTGTATTGGAGGAAAACTACATCAGTAAAGATGTCCAATTGGACTTAAATGTCCCTACTGTCCAAACAACAAGATAATTTTTTGTGTAAGTAGATAATTTTCTATGAGTTGATGTGCTTGTTTGCTTTTCTTTGTTTGTTGTGCGAATCCGTAGAATTTTGAGTGTAACAAGTCAAAAAGAAGGTTTTAAAAGTTGAAGTATAAAACTTCTCAATTTAATCATAAAAATGTATATAAATGCACATAGAATTCAATTTTGTTTCTATGTATTTTACAATGCTACAAAATTTGCAAAAATTGAAAGTATATATTTTTCCTCTAGTTTATTTTAACTAGCATAATATTCCATACGTTCCGTTATTGTCTCTTGAATGAGTTCCGAAATAAAATTTTGGTTTTCAAATAAAACGATACAATTTTTCGTTATTTTGAAGAATTTTCTTTTCCTAGAACAAAGCAAAAAGAAATTTTTACGCTTAATGGAAGCTAGAACTAAATTTTTAAAAATCTTTTTTCCTGAGTGTTTATGATATTTTTTTATTTGTTACATTTCCACAATTGCTCCTAACACTGCCTACCACCATCCAGGACCAAGAGAAACCCAAACAACAGTTTTTTAAGTTGTAATTGTTTAATTTTTATTTACAGCATAAAATTCTTTGTTTCTTTCTTCTTTCTTTAACAAGTTTGTTTCTATCTTCTTTAACAAGATAGGGTTGAATCATAATTAAATAATCATCATTAATTAAATAATAATCCATAATTAAATAAATGTTTTCCAAATTTCGTAATATTAAAAAATTGGGTGGGGCATATTAATTTGGTCTCGATGTACCTTAATTCATACAATGCTATTTAAAAAAAATTGTGGGATTTGGTACTGGAAACACAGATTAAATAAATATTTAAACAAAAATATATGTTTTGCAATTTAAAAAAATAAATAAAAAATACCGTCACAAACAACTGAAAGCAAACAGTTTTACTTTTATTTTTGATGTTTAAATAATTTATGACCATAATTGAACGATTTTCTCAAAATATTTACCCAATTATTTTTGGAACATGGTAAAGAACAAATATATATAACTTTGTTTGTGTTGTGTGTTCAATTCATAATTTCCGCTTAATAAATAACAGCTTGAAGTCTGTCATTACTTTAAAGGCCAAAATTGCAATATTGGTTTCCATATATTCGAAAATTTTACCAAAATCATTGGAACTTTTTCCATTTGATTAAAAAAAGTAAAATAATTCCTGGGAGACAGAAGGAGTTGGCGTTTAATTACCCGTCGAGTGTCGCGGACGAGAGTCAAACCACTTTTGATACATACATTAAAAAACCATACGCTCTGCCGGGATTCGAACCCAGAACCATCCCTAGCATGGCTAGTACGAGTTGAAAACTCAAATCACTCGGCCCCCAGACTTGTTTTTTCTACATACATATGCTGTGAACTTACTGAACTTGCACACTTTTTCTAATCTATTTTAAAAATAGGAAATATTCCTCTTCTTCTAAGATATTGAGTCAGTTATTCTCAATCCATTTCTGGTACTTCTATGAAGTTTTAGAAACTACAAACTTAGCGCAGCTATTTTTATTTTGTGTTGGATTTTGATGATGATGATGTATACTAAGAAGCCCGGTTATATCTCCATTGAGCGGTTGCTTAGCTTTCAATTTTTATCAATGTAACTTCTTTTAAAATTTTCTGCATTTTTTTTAAATCGAGGTGTTAAAACATGGTCCAGATATAATCCAAAGGAGTGAGGCTACATAATGTTGGTTGTTTGTGCATGGGAAAACACAACGTTGTTGTGGTCGCCCATGGTAATAATTCGTGACGGACGCTTCAGCAGCTCTTGGGAACAAGCTGAAAAATACCAAATAAAGATTTCTAGAAAATATTTACTCGCCATCACGACTTTGACCTAAAACAGTTTCGGTTAGCTAATGAAGGAAGGAAGACTTGGCGGGCCATTTTCCGCCCACATTGATTCCTAATGTGCGTAATTTGCCCGATCGACTGCTGGTAGTTCATTAAACTGGCAACACCTGGTACAACGTGAATATTTGAAAATTTCGTAACGCTAATTTTTCACTTTAAACCAGCCTCATTTCTTCCCACTAAAGTTGTTGATCTTAATTTTCCTAACCGATTGAAAAAACGTTTACTTGAATTAAATTGTAATAGAGAGTAAAATTATATCACATGATTTTTTTTTTAAATAATATATTAGAATAGTGATTATATTTTCTACCTGTTCTGAGATTTCTACCCAGGTACGGGTTTTAGAGTAAGACGGGCCTGGATTTTAAAAAATTCCAATATATGACTTGTGAAAGTAATTTAGTCGGAAGTCATAGAAACAACTTTTGATTTTCGGTCCAAAATTATGTTCCGAAAAGAAATTCAATCCATGAGTTCGGGCACTGGTGAAAACAAGTCGGAAGATGGTTTGGCCCTTTTAATTCTCGTCGACTTTGCGGCATTTTTTTAACAACTGAATTTCTTAGATGAAATGAAAGTAAGTGAAGTATGTTTAGAGATAAAAGCTCGATTGGTAACAAAGTAAATGACTTACATTATGTGCCAGTTATATTATCTTTATTAGTAAGTACATACTTTTTTAAATTAAACGATCGATGTGGGGGAAAAATCAAATATACCCTCTCTATAAGGGATTTTTAAACATGTTTAACCTGAGTAAAAAATTTTCTTTACATTTTATACAGCAATACTGAATAGTCTGTATTTATCTGTACCCAATCTATTGATGATACTTTGTTCTTTTTACACTCAAAGACAAAAACCAGACACTTGTATTTATTTATTTTCCATAATAACTAGGTATAAAGATAATAATTGACTTAAAATGACAACATTAATAAATTTTTGTTTAACTTTACAGAATGTTATTAATTGTTTTACACTCTTTAGAATAAAAATAAAGAACTCAATTAATTATTCTTTCTGTGTAAGGTCTTGATTGAGATAAAAAAAGTCAGTGTCACGAGCGGGATTCGAACTCACGACCTTTTGGGGGGACCGCGGTAGCCGAGTGGTTAGCATGAGAGACTCTCACGCCGCGGTCGTGGGTTCGATTCCCACCGTCGCCTCTGGCCCTTTTTTCCCGATAATCCCCAATTTGAACACACAAGAATTCGTATCATGGCTAATATGCAAGATCATAAGGCCAATTAAAAAAATTAAAAAAAAACTCACGACCTTCGGCTCAAGTAGTTAGAGCAGCGGCGTATTTAGCCGAAGGTCGTGGGTTCGAATCCCGCTCGTGACATTGACTTTTTTATCTCAACCGACACCTTACATAGAAAGAATAATTAATTGAAAGAAGTAATTTGGTCAATTGA